AGTGGCGCTGTGGCTCAAGTGGTAGAGCGCTAGCCTTGAGCTGAAGAGCTGAGGGACAGCGCCCAGGCCCAGAGTTCAGGCCCCACAACCGGACCCCCCCAAAAAAGAAAGTCACATGGAGAACCCCTAAGCAATAAGGTTCTAGGGGTACAAAGCCTAACCTTCAGCCACAGAGATCTACTTCCTGCCTTCCAGGAGAGCTGCCCCTTTGTGTGTAACAGCCAGGATTCCCCTCCTAAAATTCTTTGAAATTAAACTCAAGTTTCCATCTTAAGATCCTCCCTCCTACCCCCCCCCCCACCAAAAGCCGAGCACCAGTGGCCCATTCCTGTAATCCTAGCTTCTCAGGAGGCTGAGATCTGAGGATTGCAGTTCAAAGGCACCCCAGACAGGAAAGTCCATGAGAATCATATTTCTAATTAACCACCAGAAAACCAGAAGTAGAGCTGCGGCTGAAAGTGGTAACCTTGAGCACAAAAGCTCAGGACAGTGCCCAGGCCCTGAGTTCAAGCCCCTGACTGACACACACAAAAAACATTTTGCCCTGTTGCTCAGTCTCCCTCCAGCAACTGTGACTCTGTCCTTCCCTTCTCCCTCATCAAGATTCTTGGTAAAAAATTGGGCACTGGTGGCTCACAGCTGTAATCCTGGCTACTCAGGAGGCTGAGACCTGAGGATCAGGGTTCAAGCCAGCCCAGGCAGGAAAGTCCATGAGACTCCTATCTACAATTAACCACCAGAAAACTGGAAGTGGTGCTGTGGCTCAAGTGGTAGAGCGCAAGTAGTAGAGCTGAAGGGCTCAGGGACAGTGCTCAGGCCTAGAGTTCAAGCCTCACGACCAACAAAGGAAGAAGGAGGAGGAGGAGGAGGAGAAGAAGAAGAAGAAGAAGAGGAAGAATATTCTTGGTAAAATTTTCGAGATATCTTCTACTTCCTCACCTTCATCTTTTCCTTAAGTGCACAGTCACCAAAATCCACAAATGTTCAAGTTCCCTATATAAAATAGTACATTATTTATATATAACCTACACAAACACTCCCTTATACTTTAAATCATCTCTAGATTACTTGTAATGTCTGTAGCAGTACCCACACGTAATTTCATTTGCATGGATTCAGCATAGTTTGGGCACATGGCAAATACAAGTTTTACTCTTTGAATGTTTCCCCAAATATTTCTGACCTATATTGGTTGAACACATGGGTGCAGAATCCATGGAAGACTGACTGTAGGAAGGGTTGACTATAGTTAGCATCCATCTTGTCAGTCTTGGTACATACAACTTGGGGCCTTAGAGAGCTCAAAGTTTATCTGTAGGAATAGGCCTGGTGAGGGGCAGGTCCCAGTGGTCATAAACTAAGATGTGGCCAGGGCAATATGGAGAAACTGATAGGGTGTGACCGAGGGAGAAGGTAATGTAGGAGAGGAAGTCTAGGGAAAGTCTTTCAGCTGAATGATAAAATCTGGTGTAGGAAAAATGCACATGGTGATTTCTTGTTTTTAATTAAAAATGAAAATCAATTTATTCCTCTATAAAACATAATACTATATATAACCAGATTATCCACTTCATTGATAAGAAAATTTTCAGTAAGAAACTTGGCACTGGTTTCTACCCGCTTGAATGTGTCCTCCAGGCACACGTGAAATACATTTGAAAGGCAGGCCCAGGGGCCCAGGGGTCAGGAGGCCAGGGACTGACATTAGAAGGGTAGGGCTCCCCAGGGGGAACAAGGTAAACAACTACATGGCAAATACACAGTTAAGTAGGGAGTGTAGTGAGGGGGTACAAAAGGAGAACAACAGGCCAATGGAGGCCTGATCATAGAGGCTTTTCCTCCATACTCTTCTGCTGTTAGGCTTTATCCTAGGAAAAGCAGGAAGCCACCGAGAGTTATTGAGCAAGAAAGAGCAGGTCATTGTCACTTCGTTGGACAGTGACAGGAAATGGAGGATTGCTCTGCCCCTGGTCAACCTTTAGGCCCTAGCTACCTTTGTCCCTGAGATCTGAGATGCCCACATAGCATCCACTGTCCTTAAAACATCAGAGATGGAAGGAAGGGGCAATGTCCGAAGATCGAAGATCAGAGAGAGAAGTGGTCTCTGCTTCCTTCTGTCTCCAGTTCACCAGCCCCAGGTTGGATATAATTGTCTTCAATGAAGCCATCATCATCCTCATCTTCACCCACCACTGGACGGTCTCCACCCCTAGTCCTGGGCAGAGGGCGATGCTGGTAGCTGGCACGGTATCGGCGGCAGACATGGCATTTGGCAGCAAGTGCGATGAGGAGAGAGAGGAATACGGCCCCTAGCACAACCCCTACTAATACTGGCCATGCCCGGCCCCCGCTGCTGGGCTCAGGGGTCATAGCTGATGCTGTGGGGAACACTGATGGTCCCTCCTGGGCTGCGGAGAAAAGGACAGCATTATAGTCCCCAGCTGATGCTGCCAGAAAAACTAATCAAAATGCAGGCAAAACCCTTTTCCCAATCCCACCAGCTAAGGGGACCCATCCTCTCATTAGCCACCCACGCTGCTACTCACTTTGGTTTGCCTCACTCATGGAGTGGCCTGATGACATCAGGGAACTTTGGCTTCTACCAGCCCAGGCTCCAGAGAGACCCCAGATGCCCGGCAGATGTAGGGCACAAGTCCTAGAAAATACACAGAGGCATAGGGGTCAGGGACAGCCAGAGGATCCACAATTCAGGCCATACTCACAGCCACATCTGGCACTACACAGATGCTGATGGCTGGACCACTGCCCATTTGTCCAGAGAAAAGAAAAAGCTGAGTGCACAGAAACTGGCTCTGCCTTTCTAAGGGATAGTTGCTGGGCTTAGTTCTAGAAACTCCTAAAACAAATACATTCTGATGCTCTTAATGACAACTCCTGAAGGCTCAGGCATCATGTAATACATACATACACACACACACACACACACACACACACATTGTGGTTATAAACACTACCCCATCTTATAGATGAGGACACCAAGGCCAGAAAGGTGAACAGACCCAACCAAAGCCCTCAAACTTGAACCCAGACCTCTAACACCACAGCCCAATCTGCCATGCTGCCTGTTAACGGGAGATCTGGCAGAGGCAGATCCTGGCTCCGAAGATTAGACAACAATTGTTTGGGGACATTGAGGAGAAGGATACAAATCCCTCTAAGGACAGAGATCTTAGATACAGCCAGAGCAGCCCAGAGGGGCAAGGGCACTGCCACAAACCTCTACCCTCAGCCCTTGCAGCTGCGCCTCAATACTTAAACCCACAGGAGGCCTACACTGTACCATAGAGGGAAAGCTTATACCAGAGATTATCCCACCCAGGACTGCCTTAAGCAGGAAATGATGGGGCTGATGATCACCTAGGCTGGGCACCCTGGAGGGAAGCACCTGAGTCAGGTGACTAGCTAGAGAAGCTCGTGTAGGTTTGGGCACCCCAGGAAGAATGGCACCTGAGTCAAAGGTATGGGAGAGACACACCTCAATGTACCAGAGAAGGGACAGCTAGAGCTGGGCTGTACTTAGGGATCCATGCAGCAGAGCAGCCAAGCCAGGGAAGCACCTACAGAGAAGCACCCAGTGTCGGGAGTACCCAGGTTACCCTATGCTTTAATAGAGATTCAGAGTGACACCCTTGTTCCCCACACTCAACCAGCTCTCCAGCCTCCAACTATGGAAAACACTTCCAGCTGTCCACCCCTCCCCCACCCACAAGCCACCATCCCCTTTTCCCTCAAGCCACTATCTCCTAACTGGTCTTTCCTGACCTCTAGTCCATTCCCCAGAGCAACTCTGACCCTAACACATGCTTTAAAAAAAGAAAAAAATCTTTCCAGAACCTTTCCATGGCCCTCAGCAATGCGGGTTTTTTTTTTTTTGGTTCCTACCCTATCTTGAAGCCTTGTAATCCATCATGGAGCCCTCAGGCCAAACTTCTTCCTAGATTCCTAGATTCCAAAGGCTCCACACTGTCATTTATTTCTCTTTCCTTCTCTTCCTCTCCAGCCCCAACTTGCTCTCCAGGAGACTACTCCTCGCCTCAGGTTTTTGAGTCTTCATCTCTCAGGACCAAAACAAACCATCCTAATCATGTGGTTGCCCAAGGATACCCCTGGGTGACCTCTGCTTGTTCTACCCAGTCAGCTACCAGTCAAAATGGGCCACTGTCAGTTTCCTGAGAGCCAGGACCAGGCTGACTGATGTGTGGTCAGTGCTGCAGGCAGAGCTGGGTCTCTGCCACTCAGCACAGGTGAGTGAAATTAATGGAGGAAAAGGGAGAGTGAATGAATATGGGAGGAAATGCTTTACAAAGGAGAGACACATTGGTCATTCATCCATTTGCAAAGCACTAAGCATGAGAGTTCATTACCTTGAAAGGAACCAAATCCAATTAGAATTTCTTTTTTAGTGTACAGCTATTCCTTTTCTCCCTGCAAATTCTTCCAAAAGATTCCCATATATACACACATTAGATACATTCCCCAAACGACTGAACTCACAGCCCATACTGGCCTGTGCCCATACCCTCTACACACACACACACACACACACACACACACCTACAGATCCTGGCCCACGCAGATCTGTAGTGTTTGGTTTTTTTTTTTTTTTTCTTCTGCTATTTCCAGCAGCCTCTGGGGATCCCTGGGGCTCTCCCACGCCCCCTCCCAACGTCTCCCCCAACCCCTGCTCCCCACCTTCAGGAACTGTGCACAGTCGGTGGAGGTGGCTTCCGGCTGGGCGGGCAGAACGTGGACAGGTGGGCGGGCTGCCGCGGGCTGACTCACCTGCGGACGCAGTGGGCGGGGCGGAAGTGCAGGTGCGGGGAGGGCTGAGCATCCGGGAGGCGGGCAGCGCCTCGGGAAGGGAGGACTCTTACTACATCTTCCCAGCTCTTTGTGGGTGAAGGCGCACCCTGCCCACGGGGCTGGACAGTTGGTACATCTGGGGTGCAGAGGGGACCTAGAAGGGGCCTAGCCGCAGCGGCTCAGGCTGGTTGCCCTGATAAACAAGTGAATTTCCGGTGACTGAGGGTACAAAGTTCGCAGTGGAAGGGAGAGTTTTGCAGGCCGAGGCCGGCGGTGGACCGGAACCGCAGGGGGAGGAGAGGGCATTCTTCCCAGGCAAAGCCGGCAGCCCACGGACACTCCAGTATCCCCCATGAACAGGTGTGTGTATGAATCCCTGGATTTTCAAGCTTCCTGGGCCCCTGCCCTAAGGCTCTGAACCTCTCCCACGTGCTTGCCTACCTTTCACCTGGCTCTTCATCCCTGGGCCTGGTGCCACTTGTCTGTCCTTCAAGATACAGAGCAAGAGTCGCCTTCTCAGGTGACATTGATCAAGACACACTGTACCTATAAACTGATTTGTTTCATTGAAACCTTTTTGTACAACGACTTAAATATAATGAAAAAGGAAGAGGAGGAGGAGGGGAGGAAGAAGAAAAAGAAGTCACCTTCTCTGAACTCTTTACCCTGGCAAGCCCTACCTGGTTTAAGTGCTAGGTACCCTGTGGATGCCTTCCAGCATTTTTCTCAGTACCTGATACTAATCCTCTCTGTGCTGCCTTCCCCAGTGGCCTGAGAGCTCACTCAGAATAAGAGACCCTTCTGAGTCATCTCTGGGTTCCCAGTACCCAGCACAGAGCCTGAGGCAGAGCAGGCTCGATAGGCATCTTAAGGAAGAAAGATTGCCTACGCCAAGGCAATCAAGGTAGCTAAGACAGGACATGCCAGGGTCCACAGGGACTGAGGGCATTGCTGAAGCAAGGGCCGCCCAGAGGTGGTACACAGCAGTGATCAGGAAAACCATCTGAAATATTCTCAGTTTCATTACAGAGAAATGGAAAAAGTTCATCAGCCACAAGTTAGAAATTACCAAATGAAAAGTCTGAAACAAGAAGCAGCAGCAACAGCAGCAAAAACCCAGCATTGGTGGCTCAGGCTTATAGTCCAAGCTACTCAGAAGATTGAGATATGAGGATCTCAATTCAAAGCCAGCCTGGGCAGATAAATCCAAAACAGTCTTAGTTCCAATTCACCAGCAAAGGGCCAGAAGTGGAGAAGTGGTTCAAGTGGTAGAGTGCCAGCCTTGAGTGAAAAAGCTTAGGGACAGCATGAAGTCTTGAGTTCAAGTCCCAGTCCTGGCATGAAAAATAAAAAAAAAAAGGTTTATTTTACCTTCTTAAATGTGTGTAAAAACCTTAAGTCCACCTCCTGCCCTTTGGTGTTATCTGCCCCTCATGTATGCTAACAAAGGGGTCAATGTAAAAAGCCTAGGCTTTTCTTTCTTAGATTTTCATTACCATGAACTCTAGCTTTTTAGAGCCCACTGACCTTTTTTCCCCCAAGTGTTACCTGACCTGTTGCTGGGGGTACAGCAGCTTGTCCCAGACCGGTCCTTTTCTGGCTAGCACCTGTAATGTTTTAATAATTGTACAAAGGGGTTGCAATTCAACATGTCAGTTTATGAGTACAATGCATCTTGATTGTGGTCACCTCTTCCATTTTTCTCCCTTTCCCCATCTACCCCAACCCCTCCCATCCCCTCATTATCTGATTTCAGGAACCTTATTGTCTAGACCAGTCTTCCTTGATACTGCCTCATCTGAGTGAAAACCCTCTCCACTTCGTCTGGTCCTGCACCCCACACCCCTCAGTCCTTCTCCTCCATAGCCCTGAGCATACTGCATTGTGTTGTTCTTTTTGTATCCCCTACAGTTGTGGGGGATATTCTGCATTGGTTATGTTCTCATCATATCCCCAATATCTATCTACATTGGCAAAAATTAATGCTGAAATGAATGAAGGAAAAGAAAGTGATCATTGACCCTAAATGGAATAATGTATGCCAAGGAAAGAGAATTTTATTTTATCTATCTTGTATTTATTTATTTATTATGTCAGTCTTGGGGCTTAAACTCTGGGCCTGGGCACTGTCCCTAAGCTTTTATGCTTTAGCACTGTCCCTAAGCTTTTATGCTCTACCACTTTGGGGCACAACTCCACTTCCATGTTTCTGGTGGTTAATTGGAGATAAGAGTCTCACAGACTTTCCTGCCTGGGCTGGCTTGAACTGCGATCCTCAGATCATAGCCTCCTGAGTAGCTAAGGTTATAGGTGTGAGCCACCAGCACCTGGCTTTATTTTTGAAACAAGGAAGTCATACCAACATCATTGAATGACCAACATCCATTGAACACCTACTATGTCCCAGCACTTAATATTTATTGGAGTTATTCATATAGCATAATCTAATTTATATAACATAATATCCACCTTTTTAGTCATTTGCAAACAAATGATTCGGTAGCATTACTACATTCATAATCCATAAGATAGATACTGTTTATCCTCTCAACAGATGAAAAAGGTGAGTCCATGAGAAGGTAAACTGTCATGAAATCCTCAAGAAGAAAATAAAGCAAAATCTCCATTCATCAATCGATCATCCATCATTAGTCTAGCCTTTATGCAAAGAATACTCATCGAATGGCCCCCTATGGTGCCACAACCAGCCCATAGAACACAAAACATCAGGTAACAACCTGCTGGATGATCCCACAGCACAGAGAGCAGAGAGTAAGCTGGAAAGCAAAACATTCGCTGGAGTTTCAGCACTGACCAACCTTTACAACCTTCCCGGCAGCACTGGCAACTGTGTGGTAGGCTCTGTGTGAGCTGCTGGAAACAGTTCATGCTGCCTTTACACTTTCATTCTGGCAGGGAAAACAGGCACTACACAAAAAATAAGACTATTTCAGATAATGGCAAATGTTAGGAACCAAATAAATTCATTTCATGTGTGCATTAGAGGAGGCTGTTATTGTAGATGGCCAGAAAAAGAGGAGACTCATCAAATTAGAGAAAAGGGGGTGGAGGAGGTGTGGGAAGGGAGAGGAAGACTATGCCAATATTTCAGGAAGAGAGAACAGGCCGGATACATGAGAGTCATGTCTGGCTGATTCAGACAGCAGCAAGGATGCTGCTGGATGGGATGCAGGAAGGTGACTAGGTGATAGATGTAGATGATCTTCTGAGGCTCATCAGTCCTGCCCCCCTTCTGTGGGGCTCAAGGCTTTGCTATGCGGTCTGAGGAGGCCAGGATGAAAGCGAGGAGAGAGGCCAGCTAGGCCGCTGCTGTAAGCTTGTAGGGGAGAGGAGATACAGCCTCGGGGAAGTCAGGAGGAGAAGTATTCAGATTACAGATATATTTTGAAGAGGAAGCTAACAAAATTTGTTGACTGGATGTGGGATCTGAGAAAGAGAGAGAGAGGAAGAATTTTGTCCCAAGTAACTGGGAGATTGGAGCTGCCATTTACTAGTGCAGGAACCCAGTGGTAGGGAATATAGCGAAGGGAGCCAGGACCAAGGCTTTGGGCACATGAACTAGCCTGGGTTCTCAAGGAACCTACAACAGGTGGATAATTTGCTTTAGTCAGATGTTTGAGTGAGATTCCTCAAGGTGAAAGAAGAGCTCAGGAATATACCAGGAGTAGAGGTCAGAGAGGGGAAGAGAAGCAGGAAGTGAGCTGAAGGAGTGGCTGTGTGGTAACAGAGGGAGCCTGGCCAGAGAAGAAAGCCATTTCAAGGACAAGGACTTGGTTAGCACAGTTCAGTGAAGTGCTACAAATAGGTCAACTAAGGTATCCACTGCAAATCAACCTTTGAAATTGGCCAAGTGAAATCCCCAGTATCCTTGACAAGAGCAGTTTCTCCAGTGTGTTGAAAATCGATGCCTGATGGAGATGTGCATGAATTTGCAAGCAGAGCCCTCTTTTCCAGGAAACTGCTATAAAAAGGGAAGACAGACAGACAAAGAGAAGGAAGACACAGGGGAGGAGCAGAACACGGAGCTGCTACATCGTGCATGTGCTGGTCAGAATAACCCAGGAGAGACAGGAACTTGATGATGAAGAAGGAAGGGAGAAGCAAGGGTGAAGTCCCTGAGGAAGCAGTGGAGAGGGTGGGGTTGGATACAAAGGTTTGGCCTTGGACAGGAGCAGCACAGTCCCTCTGAGTCACTGGAGGAAGATGGCCTGTACAGAGAAAATACAGGTCTGTCATGGGAACCTCAGGGTGATTTCCTCTGATGCCCTCTGATTTTTTTTTTCCAGAGCAGTAGCAAACAAAGTCCTCAGCTGGGAGGGAGAAGTGGGAAGGGGGTACTGAGGCTGGAGAAGAGAAGAGAAAGTGTGAATTCATTCTGGACAGAGGGAGAGTATGGGCCTAGCTGTGTAATAGGTTTGTGGGTATGCATCAAGTCCCTTTGGGGTAAAGGAGTCCATTTGGGTGGCTGAATGCTTTTATTTTCTGATCACTCCAAGTATAGGTGGGGAGAAGATTTAACCAGGATTAGGGATTTTCCAGGCAAATACAATAAAGCAAGAGAGAGGCAAAGGCACTGAGCTATAGGCAAGGGAGTGGTTATGGGGATAGACACAAGATCTAGCAAGAACAAGAGAGAAGTGGGGGTGGAAGGTGTGGAGAAAACAAAACAGACAGAGTGATCTGATGATTTTAGCAATCGTTCCTGGTGTACTAGAGAGAGTAGGTGGACATAATGGCAGGTGGTGGGCAGATGGAAATGAGGTCATCCAAGCAGTGCGATTCTTGATAAAGACAGGTACTAGTGTAAAAATCTTGACACAGTCCTGAAGTGGGACCTTAAGAGCAATGGTAGTTTTACTCTTATCTGAAGCACGTGATTAACCTGCTGGATCAGAGCCTAAGGACAACATTCTTAAGACTCGATTAATAAATAACTCCAGGCTCCTGACTCTTGGTCCAGCACCTATCCAGCTCTATCCTTCTCCACTGATGATCCAAATTTCCCATCACAGTTTTTAATTCTGCAGTCATTTGGAGTAACAGATAGCAATCACTTCCCTTTGGAGATACAATTGCATTTCTCAAAGATAACTCAGGGTTCTGCCACCCAAACAATGCATGGATATGGAGGAAGCAAAAGCATGAGGATCCCCAGAACCCACTCACACT